AAAGGAGCAATTATTTGTTGACCATGTACGTGGGACTTGCTCTGAGCCATCTTAAATCTTTTTGTTTTGACAATATTTCTAAACATACAATTTTATTTAATTAAAAAAATTCCCCACTTCTTATAATAGTTAAATTGTTTAGTTTGTTAATTACATATAATTGGTAAGTGTTAAACGTTATCTAGAAAAGTATTTAAATTTAGAAAATTAGAAAGTGAAAAATGAAAATAAATGTGAGACAAGGGGTCGGCCTGTGGTATGGTCCGTCCCGCTTGTTCTCGTCCAAATAACTGGTTGGGTCTAGTTCTAGCCAGAGTCGGTACATTGATCCGCTACGAGCGACATGCCATTGGGCCGGCATGAGCTAGCCCATGGGACGAGCCCGGCACGTTCCGGTGCCCGCTCGTGCCTGTTTGGTAGAAATATATGCATGTGTACTGGATTCTACGCGCAAGTAATGATGGATCCAGAAAAACTTTATAAAGATAATACACTAACATTCAAATGGACTATATTCTCAACCTAAACAGGCTAAACTCAAAGAGGATGCAAATATTCTAAACATTATTATGGGGGAATGACCTGAAAAATCTAGAAAACCTAATATAAATCTCAATAAGCTTAGGAGCGCAACTCCCCCAAAGCTTATATGTCCGTCTGCCGCTGCGTACAAGTTCGATAGATTTATATATGTATAAAGTGTGCATATGCGTATATGCATGTATTGTGTATACAAAAGTATACTTCGTAGATCTGCGTCAACAGAGAAGAGAAGTGAAGCCACGCCGACTTATTGTTATTGATTCGTCGAGGCTCACTAATAAATTGTTTGGATTGGAGAAAAGGATAATCTATGCAAACTCGCACAATTAATACACAAAGAATGTTGAATATTGGAACAAAAACTTGATGGAGAGTTTTATACCTTATGCTTGTTAGCTATGTACGTTAATATTATCGAAACTTGTTTTCCTTCAATCAATGCCCAGAAAATTAAGTTTCTCCATGTTCACTTAAATGCATGTTATTATGCAATGGCAGATCTAGGAATTCTAGAAAGTGATATCACTATATAATATATAAAATAAAAAATTGCCTCTTAAGAGTTTTTATTTTTCAAAAAAGTACATAATAACATCATTGACACTATCAAACACATCTTTCTCAAAGTATGCCACTAAGCAATTATTAAGCTAATGTGGATAGTGGTTCAAGGATAATAAGCATAAACTAAGCTAATTACTAATTAATATATAGGTATAAAATATCATGTATACTGTAGTAGTAATGGGAGTTGGTATCAAGAATAGCTTCTATGTGAGTGATGGTAATATGGTTTTAGAGTCTTAACGGCTCTTATCTTGCTCTAAGTGGAAACAACTTTAGGTTTAAGTGGAAACAACTTTAGGTTTCAGCGCATAGCCAATTTCTTAGTCTGACACAGCGCAGAAGTAATAACCTCGGAATCCACCAAGGAGTGTTCTCTGAATCAAACAATCTCTGAATCCACGAATAACTTTGAATCCACGAAGAAAATAATGAAAGAGAAATTTTATTGATGAAAAGATATTCCTCTAAGGCTTACAATACTCTGTTTAAATAGAAAAAGAAACAAGACTTCTACCACGACTCAAACTTTACCAAAAATACAAATAACATAACTCTTCATAAAATGTCTCTTTAAGATTAGGGAAGTCAATCGGTCAAGTTTGGGAGCAAACCGGATTTGCTTCCTAAATAAAACAGATTCCTAAAATATTACCAAAAATAGTAAAAAAAACTTGCAAAAACGTCTCTCAATCCGGGGGAATTTGGCGAATTGGATGGAGGTAAACCAAACTTCGGTTGATTTGGTCGGCCCCGTCTCGAAAAAATACGCGATTTTCATATATAATTCATTCAATTCTGACTTGCAGTTTGAAAGATACGACCCGTTCTTCGTGGCAAGTTATTTCCTCGACCGGGTCCACGTTTGGGCTTGTGTCTGTCTCGTTTCTCCATAAACATGTCTTTCGTGTGTTCTACATCATAGTCTCACTTGGTATATGTTGGAAAAATTATCAAATAATAATATTATAACATGAAGTAAATCTGAAATTAAAATAAATAAGAGATAAGAAAAATCAGGCCTGACGGGAGCAGTCGTGTATTCACTATCCTAGAATATTGAGAACCCGCCTATCACCCTGGCGCAGATGGTTCCCTCCCCCTAGTGATAAAATCCCCCGGAAACAATCGGCCTCTGCATTCGGGCGAGAGTGCAGAGCTTCAGCTCAGATGAAGGAAGTTGCCCAAAAAATAAAACCAATACTATGAAGAAATAATATGAAGAGGAGAGAAGAGACTTGTTGTTTTTCTTGTTGTTTTTCCGAGAATATGAAAAGCTGCTTATATAGGGGTCTTAGAGAGCCGTTACAAATCCTAGCAATCAATACAGTAACGTACGTCATAATGTCGACCGTTACGCAATAAACCCATAATTAATACGGTAACGTTCGCTATAATTATATAGCCATTATGCATGTATTAATTGCCAAGGAAAATAAAATATGTAAAACATGTTAAATTTCCTTTTCTTTAATAAAATATCCAACAGTCCTCCCCCCAAAAGGCAATATTAACTAAAAACTCAGTAATCAATAATCAATAAATAAATCATAAAACAAATATAGGTTGGGCAACCTTACGTATCGTGAATTCCGGAGAAGTAGCTTTCGGCTTTGAACCTTTCCTTAGTGAGTTCATTGCCACCTGAGAGACATAATGGACTAAGCCTTGAATTAGGCCCCTTGAATCAGGTATTGATAAAAACACACACAATACATCTTCATCTATTGAGCAAAGCGGGTTGAGCGTTAAAGGCCATGCTCATAATAAACCGACTCATAAGAGTTTCTAGGGGTTAGCCCTGCCCCCCTCCCAACCGTGACCATCACGGTTCCTCTCACGTAGGTAAGTCCTCAAAGGATACTACAACTATTTATTTAATACCCCCACAATACACACGTTGGACTTATTAAGAGTAAAACTTAGCCTAGCTAGCTGTATTATAAAAGCATCATCATCATAGAGAAGGGGTAGTAGCACAAGCTACATAGTGATATATGAATATATCTGGGTCGATACTCTACACGAGTGTCACTAGTCCAGCTTGTTTCTACCATATTGAACCAACATTGGGACTATGTCTCCAAATAAGGGTTGGGTTGCCACTGTCAGTGACCTTATCTATGGGCTTAACCCCATCTCCCTCGATGAATCCAGAACCACACTCCTGGATAGACCCTTTGTCAAAGGGTCAACAAGATTCTTTTCACAGACTTTACAAAGTCTAGAATCACAACTTTGCCTAGCAGGCGTTGTATTTATTTGTCAAGTTCTTATTTTGTAATTAGTCCATCATATTGTTTGAAATTAACATTAGGTCATGGTCTATGATCATAAAAGATCATAGTCTATGTCTGAAGATGTAAACACATAGTGTTTGTGCAGATTAGGATTTGACCTTAATATCTGAACATTTCAAACTAATGTGGAACTAAAATTCTGCAGTTATGCATATGCACATACATGAATGAAATTAATAATAGATACATGCAGAGCATTCAAGAGAACAATATATTTCATACTTCATAATTCATATGCATAAATTTTTTTAAAATTCTTCTATTATAAGAGGTTACAAATTGGTTGCCTACAAAGGAGACATTTCAAATTTAAATCGGTTGCCTACAAATAAGATCTTCCAAATTTAAATTGGTTGTCTACAAAAAAGACCTTCCAAATTTATGTTGTCATTTTCTAGTACCACCTCTTATACAAATAATAATAATAATAATTGTACATACGTGCTTTAAATTTTACAAATGTATTCTTGCATAAAACCTCATAATTAATCATGTAACAAATGCAGGTTATCTAAAAGGACATATGAAGATTTATTGCAATATCCATCATAACGCAATAAAAGAGATGAACTTTACATTTGAAGATTTGAAATATAATCCACCATATAAAATAGAATTTTAAAAAATGCACCTCTTTGATTTAGTTCGCTCATATATTGATCATTTATCATTAGACAATATATGATGCAAGAAGCGTAATTAAATAAATGCATATGAATTTTTCTCATAATTCCGGTTCCCCTTATTCCTAACCAAAAACTCCTTAAGTGAAAAGATTAAAGTTTTACCCGGGTAGTTAGCCAGGTAAGGATAGTACTAGAGGTTGATCAAAGATCAAGTATGTACCTCGTTCCTTGCAGAGCGCGTTACGCAACCCCTAAACTTTGCCTTAGACACCAACTAATCCAAGAAAACTTGAATCGGTTCACTCAATGAGTTTTTGTTCCTTAATAGTATATAGATATTTTAAAATATTTCCTACAAGCATTTAATTTGCCAAGCAATTATACTGCAAACATATGTTGGATAAGGCCGAGGAGGGGTTTACCTATTGATGTTCGAACCTCATGATTTTCAAGTCTTGAGAGTAAAAACCCATCTGCTGCAAACAACTGCCACATAAGTTGCTGAACAAATTTGCATTCACTTTTACCACCTTATGTACTAAGGTTATTAGATGCATAAACACTCCAAAGTATGGAATTATTAATAATAGAAGGTACCATATTGATAGGTTAAAGAAATGAAAGCATTAAACCATGAAAAATTTTAAATACTTCAAAACATATATATATCCAGATTTTGTTCACTTGTCAAACCATGTATATGAGACTTTCAAGAATAAATATGTACACTGCTGCAAATTTCATAAGCATGTTTCATTGAACATTACAAATGCGTGCATATTTCAAATTATTTTCCAATTAAGGTCAACTATATATCTATATGAGCATCACTCAGATCTGACTTAATGAATGTACATGGCAGAAGCTAATGACCCAATAGATTATGTTCAAAACAAATCAAATTAGGAAACTGATTTGATCAAGAGTTCAAGAAACATGAGGTGAAATCAAAGATACGAACTTGAACATGGAGGTAAGAAAAATTATTCTATTATATACAACTGCAAAGGAGAGTGGAGCAACAATGGAAGCCATCCTTCAATTATTGCAAAGTTATAGCCAAGGCAATTGTACTTATAAAATTCAGTTATTATGCAATCATGACATTTCTAATGATATTTTTAGATATTTTTTGATAAGCATAGAAAACAAACTTCTGCTTCTAATAAGTTTCACGGGTCATATTATATAAATCTTCCTCATACAACAACAGAAAGATATACCAAGGTAGATTGACCTAAAAAGTGTTGATAAAAAGGTCGGTTAACAAGAAACTTACACGCTTTTGTAATTAATTACAGTTAGTTTTTAATTATAATCAAATAAAAGCAATTAAAGCAATTTAAACAATTAATTGCAATTAACCGTTAAAATTAATTGGCAGTTAATTAAATTAACAGAAACATTAACTACAAAATGTATTTATTTTCGCCATTGACCAAGCCAAGGTTAGGGTTTCACTTCTTGTCTTCTTCACTTCTATGCTTCTTTTGACAAAATTGTGAATTGATGTAGAAATTTTGATTTATCTGTAAGTTCTCAGTTCTCACTAGGGTTTAGGAAGTAGGGCTTTGTGGAATTAGGGTTTAAGAATTAGAGCTTTGTAAAATTAAAATTTAAATTGATTAGGGCCTAAATTGAAATTGAAATTGGAATTAGTTCTCACTAGATTTTATTGTTTAATTTCAAATTTCAATTTAAATATTTGATATATTTTAGTCCCTAACATGTTTTTTGGTAGGACTTCTTGATTAATTTATTTTTCTCGATATTTATTAGATTGTAGCAGATTCAGAATTAAATTTGGATATCATGCCTCCTCGAAAGTATATGTCTGGACATGATAAGCGGATAAAGAAACAAAAAATTGAAGAATTCAATCGATCTCAAGCGGGAGCACTTGAAAAATTTATTACTTGTAGTAGAAATATATATTCTAATTCAGTTCAAGATTCGGTGAATGTTGAAAATGAGCAACCTGAAAATCAAGAAAGCGATGATTTGGTTAATGAAAATTTGAATGAGAATAGAAATTCCATTGAAGAAGGTGAAGAACATGAAGATTCTAATGAGAATAGAAATTTGAATGAGAATAGCAATGTAAATGAACATGAAGAAAATGTAAATGAACATGAAGATTTGGTACAAGAAGAAAACCTTGAAAGAAGGCCTTCAAACATAAATGACCCAGGAAATTGGAAAAATATTGATCAAAGATTGAGAGACTTATTGGTTGAAAGAGGTCCCAAAAGAAATGATAATCTTGATTTTCCAAAAGATTCAGAAGGTAGACATTTCTCCTCAACACATTACATTCATAACTTATCCAATGGTGAATATCATGATAGAAAATGGCTTATCTATTCAAATTCTTTGGACAATGTTTTTTGTTTTTGTTGTAAGTTGTTCAAAAATGATGCAAACAAAATTCAATTGGCAAATGATGGAGTTAGAGACTGGAGAAATCTCAGTGCCAGACTTAAAAGTCATGAAACAAGTAGTGAACACATTGTTAACATGAAGAGTTGGATTGAATTAGAGATCAGATTACGACAAAATGCGACAATCGATAAAAGTGTTGAAGAACAAATCAACAAAGAACGAGAACATTGAAGAAAAGTACTATTGAGAGTAGTTGTTGTTGTGAAAACACTTGCTAAAAATAGTTTGGCATTTCCTGAAGGTAATGAGAAGCTTTATGAAGAAAATAATGGAAATTTTTTAAGTATAATAGAAATGATTGCCGAATTTGATCCAATAATGAAAGAGCACGTTCGTCGAATTCAGGAGAAAGAAATTCATTATCATTATCTTAGTCACAAAATTCAAAATGAATTTATTCTTCTAATAGCAGATGAGATCAAAAGTTTAATCATCCAAAAGATTAAAGAAGCAAAGTACTTTTCTGTTATTCTTGATTGTACTCCGGATGCAAGCCATGAAGAGCAAATGTCACTTATATTAAGATGCGTGAATATTTCAACAAGCCCAATAAAGATGGAGGAGTTCTTTTTAGGATTTTTAAAGGTGGAGATACATCAGGACGAGGACTTTTTGAAGAACTTGTAAATATTTTGCAAGAGCTTAAACTTGATATTGGTGATGTAAGAGGACAAGGGTATGATAATGGTTCTAATATGAAAGGAAAACATAAAGGTGTACAAAGAAGATTATTAGAGATAAATCCTAGAGCATTCTACACACCTTGTGGTTGTCATAGTCTTAACCTTGCACTTTGTGATATGGTAAACTCTTGTTCGCAAGCTTCATCTTTTTTCGGAGTGGTGCAGCGCATATATTCATTGTTTGCATCTTCTACAAAACGGTGGAAAGTTATTACAGATAATGTTAAATGTTTCACACTTAAGCCATCATCACAAATTCGTTGGGAAGATCAAGTTGAAAGTGTTAAAGCAATAAGATTCCAAGCTCCAGATATAAGAGATGCTTTGATTTACTTAGCAAGTTCTAGTGAAGATCCCAAGACAAAAAGTGATGCTGAGTGCTTAGCAACATATGAAATTGAGAATTTTGAGTTCTTACTTGGTATGGTTATTTGGTTTGATATTTTGAATGCTATTAACAAAATAAGTAAAATCATGCAATTAGAGGATATACAGATTGATGTTGCTATAGACCTTTTAAGAGGGCTCATTTCTTTTTTTGAAAGCTACAGAGAAAATGGATTTGAAGCAGCTATGGTTGAGGCTAAAGAAATTGCAGTTAGAATGAAAGTTGAACCCATTTTTCGTGAACGTCGCATCATTCGTAGAAAGAAACATTTTGATGAAAATGCTAGTAAAGAGATGGCAATGACAGCTGAAGAATCCTTTAGAGTCAATTACTTCATATATATCGTTGATCAAGCTCTTTCTTCACTCAAGAGTAGATTTGAACAGTTTCAACAGTATGATGAATCTTTTGGTTTCTTGTTTAATTTGGAGAGGTTGAAGTCTGCAGATAATGATAGTTTGAAGTGTTCATGTCTTAACCTTGAAGATCTCCTAAAGCATGACAAAAATTTTGATATTAATGGGACAAAATTATTTTCAGAACTCCAAATCTTAAGAGAAGCATTACCAAGAGGAACAAAAAAAGCAATTGAAGTATTGAATTTTATGGAAAGGCTAAATTGTTGTTTTCCAAATGCTTGGATTGCTTATAGAGTATTATTGACAATACCAGTTACAGTTGCATCGGCCGAGAGAAGCTTTTCAAAGTTGAAGCTCATCAAATCTTATCTACGGTCAACAATGTCACAAGAGAGATTGAATGGATTGGCTATGATATCTATCGAAAAAAATTTATTGGAGAAGCTTGATTGGAACATTTTAATTGATAATTTTACAGCTCAAAATGCAAGGCGATCCCATTTAATGTAGTATGAATTGTGTTATTTATAAAGCATCAAGAAGTTTTTTGATTTTAATATTAACACGATTATGTGCTTATTGTCTCATTTTAATAAAAAATATTTTACTATCTTATAAAAAATTTTGTGTATGGAATATTGTATATAGAGGCCCCTCATTTGAAAGCTTGATTAGGGCCCCGTGAAAAATTAAGAATATCGGGGCCGGCCCTGCTCATACATGCAAGCGAGCACAAGCGCACACACACATAAGTTCATCTCCATGCATACAACAACAGAAAGATATACCAAGGTAGATTGACCTAAAAAGTGTTGATAAAAAGGTCGGTTAACAAGAAACTTGCACGCTTTTGTAATTATTAATTACAGTTAGTTTTTAATTATAATCAAATAAAAGCAATTAAAGCAATTTAAACAATTAATTGTTAAAATTAATTAGCAGTTAATTAAATTAACAGAAACATTAACTACAAAATGTATTTATTTTTAATAATGAACAATAATGTTTTCAATAAAAATGAACAGTAACGGTTTTAAAATAAATGAACAGTGAAAGGTTTATTTTTTGGAATGAACGGTAACGGCTACAATTTTTTTTAAACTTTATAACAACAACAAATCAATAATACTAATAGATAAACAAATATATAATTAAAGCAATTATATATTTTTTGTGAACAGTAACTATAAAAAAATTTTCTGATATTTTTTCGTGTGAACGGCAAACTTTTGATGAACAGTAAATTTTAATTTTTTTCAAATTTAAAAATTAACAACTATGAATACTCAATCTTCTAGATTGTTGGAAAAATTATCAAATAATAAGATTATAGCATGAAGTAAATCCGAAATTAAAATAAATAAGAGATAAGAAGAATCAAGTCTGACGGGAGCAGTTATGTATTCACTACCCTATAATATTGAGAACCCGCCTATCGCCCTGACGCAGATGGTTCCCTCCCCCTAGCGGTAAAAGCCCCCGGAAATGGTCGGCCTCTGCACTCGGGCGAGAGTGCAGAGCTTCAGCTCAGATGAAGGAAGTTGTCAAAAAAATAAAACCAATACTATGAAGAAATAATATGAAGAGGAGAGAAGAGACTTGTTGTTTTTCTTGTTGGACTGCCGCTGATGAATATGGGTTTGGGATTCGTCTCAGTACCCATGTTCACCTGGAGGACTTCGTCTTTAGTTGGTGGTTCACGCTGTTCGAAGCGACTGTTCCACTGGGCATTAACATGGCGATCCCATGTTTCGTCGTAAAGTGGAAGTTGTTCGTCCTCCGCCATTCCGACGGGGTCTACTGTGGCCATATTGACCGTAAGACCATCGAACAGATCCTTTACGCTGACGTCGGAGTCCCAGGCCGAGGTTGTTGACGATTGATCCCCTGAACACGCGTAATCGGAATCAGCAATCAATACAGTAACGTACGCCATAATGTCGACCGTTACGCAATAAACCCGTAATTAATACGGTAATGTTCGCCATAATTATATAGCCATTATGAACGTATTAATTGCCGAGGAAAATAAAATATGTAAAACATGTTAAATTGCTTTTTATTTAATAGAATATCCAACAGTATACACAATAAATGGGTCACGCAAGTTCTACTGGGATTGCCTATAGCTTTATTGGGTAGGTTTCTTAGTGAGCTTTAAGTTGTAAGTGGGGATGGGTAATTTAGTTTGCGGAGCAGAGTGTTATCTCTTGACACCACTTTGCTCCGCATAGGCCCGCCGAAAGTTAGAAAATGTGTAAACTTTTAAAATATAAAGTGTCAGAAAGAAACTTTGATTACAAATTGCGTTAATTTTAGGGTATCAAAATGTCAAAAATAAATTTTGGGATATCGAAGTTATAAAAGGCACAAACTTTGGTGTACCAAAGTGTAAATAACTCTTATTTGTGTGATGTCTGGAAATATTCAACCACAAGATAGAAGAGAGAAGGAAGTAGCACAAACTTAAACATTAAAACAATTTTACGCAACCCAATTTTGATGTAATTATACGTCGACAAGGTTCACGTTTGACCAATTGACACCCTGAAAGTTGGTTCAAAAAAATAGCTATACGATCTTCCGAAAAGTGTTGTATTGAAGTACATGTTAGTTTATGCTATTGTAACATAGTATCCATATACTACAGATTTCTGGTAGAGTATAAATTTCTGTTTAGATCTCTCTTTTGCACATCTCCAGCAGAGTAGAATGTTGTGGTATTGACCTCCTCTGTCTTATTAATTTGGTAAGTGAGAGTTGACCTCAAGGCTAACTGTTTCTAAATATACCAAAGTTTTAAAAGTTGGAATGCAAAAAATCAAAGGATTTTTATTTTTAATTTTTTCTTGGAAAATATTTCTTAGCCGGGAGACCCTAGTGTCACCTTTACCTCTAGTGAGATACTATTCATTTTAGGAATAAAGTCTGTTCTAGCATTATCCCATTTATTATCGAGCTTAAATACAAAAGACATTTTACTGGAGATCACCTTGCAAGGTGATCAATTTAGTTTGTGATACGTTCAACTCGAGGCAAGTAATCTAGCCCAGAAAGATGAAGTAAGATACCAAAATTATTTCAGAGGTAATCTAATTTAAAGGCTGAATTGCTCAATATACAACCTAGCAGAATATAGAATCATTTATCTCAAAGACGATAGTATAATGCATCGCGAAGTGGGATCAAAGAGCCTACTTTGTTACCAAAGACAACGAGATGTTCTTGTGCTTTGTATTGTATAAGATAATCCGAAGAATCCTCCTCTTGAGCATGCAAAAGTCATTCACAAATTCTAGGAAATTTTCTTGTTTCTTATATATAGCTAAATTACTACAGTGGTATGTCTTTTTTTTTTATTAGCAAAACCCGATTGATATATTCAGAGCTACTTCTTTACCAGTAATGTATATTTATTGGCTCTGGGTCATTAAGGTATAAAAAGTCAGCATGCTTAACAAATAAGACTATCCGATCGTTGGCAACAAGATTTAAGCAGCAAATTTAGAGTTTTTTTTTTCATATATACCCCTCAGATATTCCATATTCATAAAAATTCAGGAGAATTGTTGAGAATAAACAAACCCAGAAGGTAAACAAGGATATTTTCAAGAGGATACTGGATAGAATAAAAAAGGACGATGATATTGTAATGAATAATTTTATCTTTGTACAATAATTTTATCGAGGTTCATCGTAATATATATTCTGCAGGATCATATTTGTAAACAAGTAGGGAAATCTTGGAGAGAGGAGTTTTAGCCAGGTTCGAGAACCATTCAGTGTGCAGACTACATGACTGGCAAAATTCTTGAGGACAGATGGAGAAAAGTTCATGAGCATTGTTGAGAATAGACGAATCCAGAAGGTAAATAAGAATACTTTCAAGAGGATACTGGATAGAAGTAAAAGAAGACAACGATATTGTAGTGAATAATTTTATTTAGTGTGACGCCCCCGGGTTCACACAAGGATACAATCTCAACTACAATAGTCAACTGGAAAGTACATAAGCTCTCTTGGCTCTCAAAATAAAATGCAAGTTTAATAATCAACTAAAAACAAAACTAAACATCTGTGGAGCACAAACTACTATAAATAACTGACGGCGACTATGCTGAAAGTCCGTCAACCTGCGACTCTCCGAAACTCTGTTTCGCTGCCCGAAAAGAAGGTGAAATCAACAGCGTCAAAGCGCTAGCAAGATCATCTCCATCCGCCCCCAAGGAAAGGGCTACTAAGTATGATGGAGGCTCTACCTATAAGTGCATAGTCTACCTAGATTATTTTACTCTGTACTATATGGAATTTATGTTTAAAAATTTACAACACAAGACTGATACGTCGAGCGAAATAATCCAAACAAGAAAACCCTCATGTATATACCATGTGTATCAAGTCGTAAATTTCTATATATAAATTCCAACTAAGAAATAATAAAAGAAAGCAATACGGAAAATACCACATCAACCATCTCCAAGAATATCATTCAAGTCCTCATACTACCCTTAGTAGGCAAAACAAATATCGATACACTATCCCGTGTAACTAAGTTGTGAAATACCTTCACAATAGGTCATACCAAGAGAATGTCAATAATCACCTACACTTAGGTTATCATTAAATTTATCAAATCGTCCTTCTCTGAAATTCTTCAACTCATCGCACCCCCATGCGGACCGATAAATAGGTATATCAACTCATCGCACCCCCATGCGGACCGATAAATAGGTATATCAATCTCTGCGAATAACCATGCGGACCGATAAATAGGTATATCAACATCAGCACATAACCATGTGGACCGATAAATAGGTTCAACGACCTCCGCGCACGCTCGTGTGGACCAAAAGTACAAAAAGGAGTGAAGTCCACCGTGGTCTCATTGCGGTTCTAACTAACACACTCAGAGTGTAGTCCATCCACGGTCTTATTGCAGGACCCAACTAACCCCACCCAACCGTTCGTAATTATAAACTATTTGTACGTACTCAATCTTCGTACGTATACCCCCAGTCGTTATTCGTAACGATTACAAACTATTTGTCTATCCCGAACAATGGATTTGTACGTACTCAATCTTCGTACGTATACCCCCAAAATATGAGTAAATTTTCACATATAACTTGCACTACACGCTCACACAACGAACCCACATGCAAGGAACCAAAATCACAAATTTGAACCTGATCAGTCGACCAATAGAAAACTTCGGTGGACTGATCGGGTTGTTCACAGAAATAATGCACACACGAGCCCGTCAATCGACTGATGACCTCCCGTCAGTGGACTAATGGCAACATCAGTCAACTGGACAGATCAAAATTTCACAGATTAGGGTTTTTGTTTGTTTTTCTTCAAAGCTCGGTTGTTTATTAACTTATATAAATAAAACTTGATTCAATACTCATGAATACTTAACCATAGGTTCGTTTAAACAATATTGTATCACATAGATGCATGAATCTAGGGTTTAACTTTCAAATTAACTAAATCTTGTTTATCTCGAC